GAATAAAATGATATGATGGTGCTTTTGCCTTCCACAGAGAAATGTTTTTGTCTGCAAAACGTTTTGTGATGAAATAATGAAGGGAGGAAAAGCTATATTTCAGTGCTTTTGTGAGCGAATGCGAGGGAACGCAAATGTTTAGCGAAAGGGGGAATGTAAAACTTTTGCGAGAGAATATAAAGTTTCTTGGGGAATGGAATAGTTTTGCGAGCGAATGATTGTTTTTCTATGGAAAGCCAGTTTCTCGGGAAAAACACAAAGTTTCACAGGGGAACGGAATAGTTTGGCAAAAGAACGCAAATGTTTTGCAAAAGAACTCAACGTTTCTCAGTTGAACGGAATACTTTGGTGATAGAACAAACTTTCTTTATGAGGCAACATAATTTTCTCAGGGGAATGGAAAAGTTTAGCAAGAGAACGCAAATTTTCTCCGTTGAACGGATTAGTTTTGCGAAAGAACACACATTTTAATAAAGAAAGCAAAGTTTCTTGGGGGAATGTTTCTTCTAATCCTGTTTTCTTCTTCTTTCTGTCACCATTTCTCTATCAGGGGCGTCCAATCCTGCTCAGTTTAGCTCCAGCACACTTCCATTCAGTCCATTGAGACCTTGATTAGCTGCTTCAGGTGTGTTTAATTAGCATAAGCTAAACTCTGCAGGACAGTGGTCCTCCAGGAACAGGTTTGGACACCCCTGCCTGATTGGCCTCAAGGGGCTCTATAATTCCAGCCTATGCATTCAGCAGAATGTTTTCAGTGTACGTACGGTGAAGTCAGACGTCTCTATGCTTCCCAGTGTGGGAATGTTTTCCACCATGAAGCTCAGCAGTGCGGTGAGTATGGTAGAGACAGACCAGGCCGGATTCCACGTGTCAGGATGGAAATCACTAATGGACAGACACAGCCTGCAGGGTCAAACAGGAGCACATACTTGAAATGAGTTACAGTGAGCAGCAGAGAATGTTTCTGTTTATGCACTGTTATTGACCTTACCGTGTGTCGCACATGAATCTCCCATTAGGGGTTAGCATATAAACACTGGGTGGCTTGAAAGGAAATTCTTGAGGAAATTTCAATTTGCCATGATAGTAGCCACCTTAGACATCACAACACATAATTAACAAAAGAAGAAGAAAGAAGTGCAAATAATAGGCCTATAATGTATATAGAAACACAAGTGAAACTCCAGTGAAAGGATTCACGCCTACCCTCATAAAGGGTTTTCTCTGGTCCACGAACAACAAAATGCCTGGGGAAGATTTCATCAACAAACATTTCAAGATATGAATTCAGAACAAAGGTTTCTTTAACAGTATAAATGTATTTTTTGTTTGTTTGCTCTAGACAGTAGAGCAAATAGATATATTGTTCATATCCAATTGTTTTAAAGTGCCCCTATTATGGATTTTTGAAAATTACCTTTCATGCAGTGTGTAACACAAGTGAATGAAAACATCCCGCAAAGTTTTAAATCTGAAAGTGCACCGTGTATAACGTTATTGTCTCTCGAAAGAAAGAGTCTGACTCTGAATCATTGAAACGAGTCGTTTTTAAAACGAATCCCAAGCCGTTTCATCTTGACGTCAACATGAACATTAGCATATTGCCCGCCCACTTGTTGGTCTTTTCGTGTTGGTCTGAATGAAAATGCTAATTCATTCTTTGCCACTAGGTGCCGCTTTTGGAGCTGTAAAATAGCGGTTTCCTCTCTAAAGCAGTAAACAAAACAGCACTGCGCTCACAAACGCTGCTTTATCAGGCATTACAGGCAAGATGACATTAAAATGAGACCAATCGGACCAATCACCGCAGATTAGCGTCACACAAAGGAGGGGTTTGGAAAAATGAATCATTGAGCGAAACATTTGGTAGTAGTTGAGCAAAAATAAATGCATATTATAAGACAATGAAAGTGTTTTTTGACCTTGCATGCATATCAGCCTGTTATTGGGGACTCCCAAAACCAAAATATGAACCTTTCATTACCCATAATAGGGGCACTTTAATTTAAATGTCAGTGCTAAAAACAGTGACCTGACATTTCCTAGTGTAATTCAGACTCAATTGTACCATTCCAGTATATTAGATGGCAGAGGTTCAGCACAGATGTAAGGCACAGGCTCTTTCCTTATCCTGAGGTAATCCTGCTTCAGACGCCGTGTTGCTGTCATAGTCGTCTTCCTGTTACCACACACACACTCATCTGAAACAAAGTTTGATTTAATATTAAAATGATCATGAAAGAGAAACAGCTTTCTTTAGAAGCATATAGTAAAGTTGATTCTTTCGTCTGAAAAATAATCAACCACGATAGTTGTAATAATTACAATAATTTGACAGGATGTGCTGTTCTAATTTGTGTTACTAATAATATAATGACATATATACTAATGTATAGTATTATACATACAGTACACACACATATATTAAATGCATGACATACCACTTGAGTGAATTCAGAACAGGTGAAGGTGAAGTGAAGAGTGTGTGTCCAGTCTCAGATGAATAATATCTGTGAATGGCTGTTTCACGTGTGAGCCTGCGTTGTGGCTTTCAGTAAATACTGGATGTGTCACATAAACAGCACATGCACGAGTCCTGCAGTTAGTGTTAATGCAGTGATTTAGGAGAAAGGGAAAATGAAGGTAACATCATTTCTGTCTGCTTTCACTTTTGATTTAATAATTTAAGGAGTGGCATAGGCTATCATTTTACTTTCTTATTATCAGAAGGCTTGCCATATGAAAAAAATGCCATCTTTAACATGCAACACATTTACATATTAAAACAAAATGATTAAGATTTAACATAAAGTCACTTATTTGTTGATCGTCTTAAGTTTACATTTTCTTTTTGCCTAAATGTTTTTTTTTTAAAGATAAACCAACCAATATTTAAAGGTGCAATAGGTGATTGTCTTCAGAATTTTTTTTTGTTATGCTGGTTGAAAGTCTCTACACATCCCGATAGCAATCATTAAGTGAATTGGTCTAAATGTATTTGTCTATATTCTGTGGAAGGCATAGGATCAAGAAATGTTCGTCCAATCAAAACGCTCGGTCCGAGCGTTTTAAAGGGGTCATATGATGCTGCTAAAAAGAACATTATTTTGTGTATTTGGTGTAATGAAATGTGTTTATGCGGTTTAAGGTTAAAAAAACACATTATTTTCCACATACTGTACATTATTGTTTCTCCTCTATGCCCCGCCTTTCGTTTTAAGTTTCCATTTTCTTTTTGCCTAAATGTTTTTTTTTTTAAAGATAAACCAACCGATATTTAAAGGTGCAATAGGTGATTGTCTTCAGAATTTTTTTTGGTTATGCTGGTTGAAAGTCTCTACACATCCCGATAGCAATCATTAAGTGAATTGGTCTAAATGTATTTGTCTATATTCTGTGGAAGGCATAGGATCAAGAAATGTTCGTCCAATCAAAACGCTCGGTCCGAGCGTTTTAAAGGGGTCATATGATGCTGCTAAAAAGAACATTATTTTGTGTATTTGGTGTAATGAAATGTGTTTATGCGGTTTAAGGTTAAAAAAACACATTATTTTCCACATACTGTACATTATTGTTTCTCCTCTATGCCCCGCCTTTCTGAAACGCGTCGATTTTTACAAAGCTCATCGTTCTGAAAAGCGAG